GGGTCCTTGGAGAGGGACATTATGCTTGGGAGGGTGGAGGGATGGTGCAGGAGGGGAAGACCCTCTATGGGATGGATTGATTCGGTGACTGGGGTGGTCAGGATGGGTGTGTCAGAGGCAGTGCAGTTGGCACAGGATAGAGCAGGGTTTAGGGCTGTTGTGCACAGGGTCGCTATGAGTCGCAAATGACTCCACAGCACATAACAACAACATTTTCCCAGCAGTTTTTTGAATACAAAACTTTGATTTGTAACACTGAGTAAGTCCAGGACAAGCCAAGATATCCAGTCATCCTATCACATACTTAAAGTGTGCATGTTTGTGTGCTTATGTGCACAAGCAATAAATGTGTGTTTAATGTATACTTTTGTATGTGTGCATTCATGAGTGAAAATGTATGACTATATATGCATGGCAAGGGGCTTTGGTGGCCTAGTGGGTAAGGAGTTGCACTGCAAAGCCAAAGGCATCCTGTTTGAATCCATCAGGGAGACAGATGGGCAGTCTCCTCCTGTGCAATTTGTAGCCTCTGAAAACCCACTGAAGAATCACCTATGAGGAGGTCAGCTACGGCTCAACAGCACATTAACAACAACTATGTAGATGTGTGAATGGAATGCATATGCTTGTGTGTGTACTTTTACATGTGTAAATCCATGTATAATGTGTGTACAAGATTCTATACAAGAGTGAAATTATTTTCATCATAAATTTTATTGGCATAATTACTGCACTTGAGTTGGGTGTTTTTAAATTTTATTTTGGAGTATAGCAAGGCTTCATGTGTACATACATCTATATGTATGTGTACGCAGCTGTTCTGTACCATCAAGTAGAAACTGACAACTGACCCTCCAGCAGGGTTTCAGAGGCACTAAACCACATGGGAAGAGACTGCCCATCTTTCTCCCATGGAGCAATGGTGAATTAGAGCTATGTAACTTTGGGTGGGCAGTGCAGCACCTTTCCGCTAGGCCACCAGAGCTCCCTATGTGTGTGTATGTGTATATGTGTACAAATATATGAAAAAAGTAACTAGTGAACTGTAACTGTTACCAGATGTTGAATTGAGGTGAAGTGCTTACAGGTCTTCTCTGTACTGTGTTACTCAGTTTTTTCCTCTGGCTTTGAAACATTGCAAGATTGATCTCTAGAGAAGGAGTACACAGGTTGGTGAACAATAGCCCCCTTGATGCCCGGTGTAGGTGCTCACCTGACAGTCCATAATCTCAGCGCCATGATGCTCCTGTCGTCAATTTTACCACCTCGGCTGTGGCTTGTTTATAGGTAGAGAAGTAACCCCCAAATAAGTGTGTGGAGGTTCCATCTGTGACATTTTTCAGGAAAGGGAAACATGAAAAGCCCTTTCAGTCTACCAGCAGCTGCACCCTAGGTGAAGCAGCAGAGGCTTTGAGTCTCTCTCTCCAGCAGTGAATGGCTTTCCAGGCCCCTCAAAGGCACCAGGGTGCTGAAATGACAAATTCTACAAATTGCCCAGAAGACAGTTTTGTAGCTCTGATGAGAGCAGCGTGCATCCTGCTGGCTCGCTCTGAGAGCTTGCTTTTTGGCTCCCTGAAGGGAGGTGCAGTTAATCCATGAGAGAGCCTTGCTCCATCCTCCGGTGGTCCTTGAGATGGTGGGGCCTTCTCCCAGATCTTTAGGCAGAAAGGGTGCTTATGTGGCATAACAGATGGTGCTGCCTCCTTCAGAGACTTGCCTTGTGGTCCCAGAGGTGGGGTTTCAGGTCTAAGGACTGGTGACTTCTGTTGATATTTTCTGTATGATAACGTCCAAACATCTTGGAAGCGTAGGAGGTAATATTTTATTAATGATATTTAATTAAATTTTAATTTCAAAGTACTGCTGTTCTCACATTGTTTTTAAAAGGGTTCATGATCTTTTCCTTCCTTTGGCAACCAGAAGGGGAAAAGGATGTTTTAGCAGACATTCCTTAATGATAGGACTTGGGATTTACTGAGACATAAGTAGGCAGTGGATAGAACATAGCCAAGCTGGACGGAGCACCTTGGGAAAACAGGCCCTGCTGATCCAAAATCTTGAATTTTCAGGCTGGTTTTCACTACTAGTCCTCCCTAAGAAGCAGGGACTCCCTCTGAGCACCTATCACTGAACCCCTCCCTCCTTGCATTTTAAATCCCCCTGAGTGCACCTCATTCCTTGGGAGTCCAACTTACATTGTGTAGGATCCATTAGCACATCTAGAGCTAGGAAGAGCTTGCTTTCCCTGGCTCACTGGATGGTTTCTGGGTTGCTTGTACTAGAGGATCCTTTATCAAGATGTGTTTTGTCTGTAATGTAGTGCAAACAAAACACTATTTGCATGAAAAGCTGACCATCTGCCAGGCATTATTCCAACCCCTTTGTATACCGTTCTGTTCAGTCCTCCCAATGACTTACAAGGTAGAGATGTTATTATCAACTGCATTTAATAGATGAAACCAGGAGACTGAGAGATGGAATGCCCCACTCAGCTTGTGTGGCCCCAGTCTCCCTTCTCCAGGGGTGCCAACCTTCCTTGTGGGATACGGGACTGTGTAGGTTTGAAATAATGGAGCCAGCTCTAGGCACGCTTCTGTCAGCTTAACCAGTACTCAGAAACTGCATTTAACACAATTCCATGTAGCTGATCCAGCTGCAGAATGAAGCCAAGATGGGATGCCCAATTTGGCCTTTTGTTTTCTTCATTTGCTTTTTTTTTTTGCTATTGTTGTTGTTCTGATTTTAATGAAAGTTTACAGAAAAGTTGGGTTTTCATTCATTTATTGTTGCACATTTTCCTTCCTCCCCCAGTTCCCTTTGGGATGCCCTCTTGTTACATATTGCTGTTATACACTGAATGCCTAATTGTATATTCCTTGGTCTTTTGGATGGAGGAAGGGGTAAACTGATCACTCAGGTCTACTAGAAAGGCTCATTAGGGGCGAAGAGCTGGACTGAGACTGCCTGAGGTGCTTTGCAAAATGAGGTCAGTAGAGAGCCAAAGTGCCAGAGGCTGGGTCCCCACTGCTGCTGCCGCCCCAAGTGCAGACTGAAGGACATCGTGTTCATCTCATGGGAGTAGATTGCCTATCCTTCTCTGGTACAGCAGCTGTAGGATTCAAACTGTATGTCTTTGGGATTTCAGCACAGCCTCTTAACACACAAGCAAAATCTTGCTGAATATTACCTAAAAGCTACTGAAACAGTACATCAACAGAAAGCAGCCAGAAATACAAGCTGGGTTTAGAAGAGGCTATGGCACTAGGGATATCATTGCCCATGTGAGATGGATCTTGGCTGAAAGCAGAGACTTCCAACAGAATGTCTATTTGTGTTTCATTGACTATGCAAAGGTATTTGACTGAACCACAACAAATAGTGGCTAATATTGAGAAGAATGGGAATCCCAGGACACATGATTATGCTCATGGGATTATACAAGGAAGCAGTTGTCTGGGCAGAGCCTGTAAACACTGCATGGTTCAAAATCAAGAAAGGAGTGCACCAGGGATGTGTCCTTTCTCCAAACCTTTTCAGTCTGTATGTGGAATAAATCATTCAGGAGGCTGGATTCTACAAAGAAGAATATGGCATCAGGATTGGAGGAAGATGTATCAACAACCTGCATTATGAAGGACGCACAACCTTGCTGAAACTAAGGAGGGCTTGAAGTGTCTGCTCCAAAAGGTTAAAGACCGTAATCTTCAATATGTATTATATCTCAACATCAAGAAAACATTCTTGCCACCAGACCAATTATCAGCATCATGATAGATATAGACAAGAGATTGAGATTGTTACCAATTTCATCTTGCTCAGTTCCACAATCAACACTCTTAGTGCTAGCAGTCAGGAAATCAAAAGACAAGTTGCTTTGGGAAAATCTGCTGTCAGGGACCTCTCCAGAGTGCTGAAGAGCAATGATGCCAGGCAAGAGACTAAGGTGTGCCTGTTCTAGGCTGTGGTCATCACAATGATTTCTTATGCATCTGTGAGCTGGATGATAACTAGGGATGACAGAAGAAATGATGCCTTTTTGAGTTGGGTGCTGGAGAAGACTCTTGAACATACCATGGCTGCCAAGAGAACTAACAGCTCTGTCATGGAGAAGGTGAAACCAAGCTGCTCCTTGGGGCCAAGGATTGGAAAGCTCCATCTCACATACATTGGGCATGTTTCCAGGAGGGACCAGTCCTTAGAGAAGGACATCAATCTTGGAAGGGTGAAGGGACAGTGTAGTAGTACAGGAAAGACACTGAATGACGTGGATTGACAAAGTGACTGTGGCAATGGGGGCAAGTATGTCAGATAGTGAGATAAGGCAGAGTTCAGAGCTACTGTGCACAGGGACACTGAGTTGAGTGGCAGATGACTCAACAGCACATAATAACAAGAGTGATGTTCAGGTCTGTGTCTTGAACTGCTCAGTATAATTCAGAGGCATGGGGTAGATGAGAGAACAGTGAGCAGCTCATATTTTCTGATCTTAATACTTGCAGGCGAGCTCTATAGCATAGTCCACAGGAGCTACAACGCCAAATGTGGTGCCTCTCTGGGGGTTCAAATCCACCGGCGGCTCTACGGGAAAAGGCGGGCAGTCTCCTTCCAAGCTATTTACAGTCTCTGAAAACTCACTGGAGGATTAGCTACGAGTCAGTTCCAACCTGGTGGCAATGTGAATGTGTGAGTGTGGAAGCAAGAATTCTTGCAGGATCTGGGGTTATGTAATTCCTGGGTTCACACACTTAGACAATATGCTGTGCTCTGTCTCTTTTGGAGGGGAGTCACTGGGGTGCACAGAGGGTGTTACAAAGTGAGAAGGGAGAGAGGTGATTCAGAAGGATCACATATAACTATCTGTGGCAAATCTGTCTAGGGGATGGCCCCTGGAGTTGTGCAAGATGCAGCCTTCATGATCCTTTATTAAAAGGAGATTGCTGTAAGTCTTCCCGCCTGAGAGCCATGCCCTATCCCCAAGTCCACTTGCCCCCCAAGCTCACCGTCCTCCTCCGTCTGCACCACCAGCTCCTCGCTCTCCATCCGGCCCTCGGGGTTGGACAGCAGGAGCCGCAGCCGGATGGTCATGAAGGGGCGCAGGCCCCGCAGGGTGTAGTGGGAGGAGGTCTGGATGACCTCCTCGGCCTCGTACTGCTGCTGGTTGAACACGTACTGGTACTGCACCGTGAGGTTGTAGCTGTGGCAACGTGTCACCGCGTAGCCAAAGGGCTCCCACTGCAGGGTCAGCTGCCGGGCGCGGATGTCCACAATCTCCACGTTCTGTGGGCCATGCACTGGGTCTGAAAGAGAGGCACACAGAGAGACAGGCTCTGAGGGGGTGGCAGCAAAGTGGGCGGGGGTGACCCTTGGCAGGCGGCAGTGTACTTCAAGAGGACACTTCATGCAACCAGGACCTCTGTGCTTTTTGTCACATGCAGAATTCAATGAATATATTTTTTGTTTATTATATTTTTGTTAAATTTTTTCCCTATATTTTCCTTCGCTGACATTATATTTCAAACAATCATTCTCCCTACATGGTGTTTATAAAATCAATCACCACTGGACTATGCCCACCAATACCTGGGCTTTTCAGGTCCCTGCTGGATCTTTCCCATTTCCTTTACCTTCTCCCTACTAAATCCATTTCTGCCACACTCCTTCAATGCACGCATCTAAAAGAGCATGAACCTAAAGAAAGGGCAAACCCAAGTTCCTTGCTTTAAATCATACTCAACATACAAATGAAAAGGTTGTCTGGAGGGAGAGGGGGGAGTGTGGCCTAATTATGTGATAGCTGCTGCTTTAACTCTTTACAGGATCTTCTTTGGGGCGACGGAAATATGTGCCCTCGAAAGAGGTGTTGGCACAATGTCTGATGTGCTGTATGCCCCCAAAGCCCTTGCTTTGCAATAGTTGATGACGCCATGTGACTGTCATCTGATTTTAAAACATTTAAAAGGATGTAATGAGAAATTGTAAAGTTTTTAAAAGGTCCATAAAGGTAATGACAAAAAAAATTTTGGGTACCATCAAGAGCACGAAAACTTTGGGCATAGACTCATGTCTACGCCCAAAGCTGAGCTGCCTCTGCAGGCTTGATCCGGCCTCACGGTTAGTCAGTATCTTTCCCCAACAGCCCCCTCCTAGTTGGCCCCACAGGAATGTAGGAGCCTGCCCACTTTAGTAACCCTTTTATCATTCCCCGGGAAAGCCAACTAAAACACTTCAGTTCACTAACCACTATGAGATACACAAGCCTTAGATGGAGACACCTTCCTTGATACACAGCGCCCAGCCTACCCATGACTTGCTGATGTTGGCGCAGAATTCCTTTTCAAATTGAGAATCCCTGCCATCGTTTCCCGATGACCTGAGACAGCCCTCAACTCATTTACCCTCATCTCAGCTTCCTCCCAAATGACTTACGCAGAGCCATCTTTCTATAACCAATCGGTCATGTCCTCTCACCCCACCTCTTCCTTTGAACATCATCCCTCCCTACTAATTGTGACCACAGACTCGCGTATCTATGCACTGCTATGCCCTATTATAATAGATATATAAAATATGTGTGCATGTACATGTGTGTATGTGTATGTATACTGTATGTATGTGTATATATGTGTGTATGTCTATGTGTGTGTATGTGTATATTTGTGTGTATATATGTATGTGTATATACATGTGTTTTTATGCATGCATGTATATATGTGTGTATATGCATGTGTGTATGTTACATACACATGTTAGATAGGACAAAACCTAACAAAAATATTTTGAAAATGCCCATGGTTTAGGCAGCTAAATATTACGGATAAGATTGATTTTATATATATATATACATATATATATAAATATAAATAAATGTTCAAAGGAAGAGGTGGGGTGAGAGGACATGACCGTGCAATTAAATAAATGCCTCTGAAAACCTGCTGGAAGGTCAGCTATGGGTCAGTTCCCACTTGATGGTACACAACTCTCTGTGTGTGTGTGTATGTGTTCTTTTTAATAAGAAAAATGGTGCTCACAATGGGAACACATGGGGGAGTTAAATGAGCCACTGCTTGCGAAGCAGTTAGAAATGCACCTGGCACTTAATAACACTTGCTACATGCTAGTTGTCATTCGTGCGGTGATAGCAATAAAAATGCATCTTAGGATTTAAGTAGGGGCCCGTGGTGGTTAGAGCTTAGCTGCTAACCTAAAGGTCAGGGGTTCAGGCCCATGAACTTGACAGTAGAAAGATGTTCTGTTACAAATATTTATAGGCTAGAAACCCCACTAGGCAGTTCCACTCTGTCCTCAAAGGTTGCTATGTGTTGTCATTGACTCTGAGGCAGTTGGTTTGGGAGTTTATGCTGTTCTCTGTCCTGAATGATTTGTAAGTAGTTGAATTCAAGGACTCTATCTGTCCTCTCTCTGGTACTATCAGAACTTGTACGGGAAGGTGGTTCCCTCTGTCAATGCAGTAATAGGAAGGAAGGAGGGAGGGCAGGTCTGGGTGTCACGTGAGTTCTCTGATCTTTCCCTCTGGGGAAGCATCTTCTGTAATTCATGGCTGACTAAAGAATGACAGAGAGCCAGCAAACCATCCCAAGACCTGCTCACAGGGATGCTGGTCTGAAACTGCTGAGGAGAAAAGGCAGCCCTGCCTCCAACTGAAGGGTTCACAGTTCCTTCATGTGAGGGAGGCATAGTCCTAAAAGCAAAGTGGTGATTCTGGAAAGGTGACGGTAAACAAGGTGTTGTTCCAGCCTCTCCTAGTCAGCTCTTTGCTGAGACTGTGTGGAACAGGGGAAAGGTTGGGAATGCAGTGCTTGGGACTGGAGGGTAAGATCGTGCATGGTGGCGGCTGCTGCAGCTGCTGCTTTCCTCAGCGACTCACAGCCAGGCAGACTCAATGAGGATGGGTGTACAGAGTGAGAGGGAGGCAGCCCATGCACCCCTGCCATGTGGCCTAGCCGGAACCTCGCCCTTGATTCAGAAGCCAGGACTCGCTGGCAGGGAGGCCACTGTCCCTACTCATCCCTTTTAAGTCCAACAAGTCTCCTGGCTGGTGCAAATGGTTTGCACTCCACTACCAACCCAAAGGTGGTTGTCTTGAACCAATGCAGAGGTTCCACAAAAGAAACGCGTGGATACCTGCCTCTCCTAGCAACATAGCCCAAGTTGTGAGATGAAGTTTTATCATCTTTGTCTCCAAGGAGCCACTCTGTCAGCATCTTCTCCAAGGCATCTGTTCATTCTTTTGTCAATCTATGGAATATTTGGTATTCTCATCTGCCCTCATAACTCAGAGTAATCCACACTACTTTTGTCATCGTTATTCACTGTCTAGCTCTCAGATACATAGCGAGTGATTGAAAAGACTAAAAGGCCTGAATCAGGTGCACCTTAGTCTTCAAAGTGGCATCATTTCTCTTCAGTGTTTTGGAGAGGTCCCTGATAGAGGACCCACCCAAAACAATGTGTCTCCTGATCTTCTGACTGCTGGTACCAAGGGAGCTCTCCATATTAGAATGCAAATTCTTGGAAAGCAAGAATGATATTTTGTTTTTTCTATCACCTGTAGCCCTCCCAGACACCCTCCCAGAATGCCTTCAGTAGGGATCAAATGGATACTGTTTTGTAAACTGCTAGAACTTTAAAGAAGGAGTAGCTGAACTTCCTGGCAGGTGCACTGCTGGAACTCAAACACAGTGCAAAGTTGACCACTGGCTGTGGTCTTCCCACCCCTGGTCTTCGGTTATGATGGTATTTTGCAAACAGACTAGCTCCTTGTAGCCCACCTGCTGAGGTGTGCATGTAAACAGATTTCTTTTTAAGGAAGGAGCAGGCAGGGGCACTTTTCAAAGCTGGTAAGGGAGTTTCAGGTCTCCCTTGCACATAGCAGGAGAGACTTCCTCTGAGAGGAGGAAGGTCAAAGTAAGGAGAGAGCCACTTGTATCTTGAAATGGCATGTGGCTGTTCACTGGCACATAGGGCACAGTGGAGTCACGTAGAGCTTGAAGTCAGGCTCTGACAAATACAGCTGTGTGACCTTGGGTAACGACACAGCATCTCTGAGGCCCTGTCTCCTCAGATACCTAGTGGAAATTACTGTACTAGTCTCAGAAGACCGTAAAGAGAGGAAAATGCTTTTGCTTACAGAAGAGATTGTGTTTTAAAGGTAATTAGCTTTCTTTGGGCATGTTCTCAGGAGAGACCAGTCCTTAGAGAAGGACATCATTCTTGGAAAGGTGGAAAGGGGGATGGTCAGCACAAGAGAGGAAGACCCTTGATGAGAGGGACTGACACAGTGACTGTGGCAGTGGGTCAGGTGTGCTGGGGAGGAAGACGATGGCTCAGGATAGGGCAAAGTTCAGAGCTGTTGTGTGTGGGGTCACTATGAGTTGTCCACTTGACAGCACGTAACAACAGCCTTTCCTGGAGGAATGTCTTAAGTTTATTCAGAGTAGAAGCTGTGTTTCCAGAACCTTCGTATCAGCTGGGCTGAGCCTTCAAAGGAAGACATGGATTCTTTGGGAGTTGGGATGAATAGGAATGAGATGCAGGCTGTCCTCGGCCTTCTGCTGTACTGTCACGTCACATGACCATTCCCATCAGAGCATCCAGATCTTCAGTGAGGTCCTCAAAAAAGTCACAAAAATGTTTGCTGTGATTGGATTATTTATTTTTAACTTTTATTATTATTTGTGTGTGTGTGTGTGTACCGTCAAATCGGATCTGACTGGTACAGGAGGAGACTGCTCCTCCTTCCCCAGCAGAGCATCTGGTGGATTCGAACTGCGTGCCTCTGGGATTACAGTGCAGCTTTTTGCCACTAGGCCACCAGAGCTCCCTATGTGATTGGATTTTTATATATTCCAGACAAAGAGATGATTCCTGCATTCCCTAGGACAAACAAGATATCCCATGTGAACCAGAAGCCTAGGGGACTCTGAAAATACCTCTGTGTGTTACATAGAATGTGGGTGATGATTTTGGGGTTCCCTAAATTTAAGATATGGAAGCAGTAAATTCCAAAGACATCTCCGTTTCTTTGTGTGTGATACAATTGATTAAAGTTGTTGGAAATTCTAGGACTCTGTACTAACGCTAGTCACTCTTGTTGTTATGAACCACAGAGTAAAAACCAATTCTTAGCTGACCATCTAATAATGGGGTTTCAGAGGCAGGTAACAGCAAGGGAGGAGATTGCCCATCTTTCTCTCATGGTAGATTTGAACCATGTACCTTTTGGTTAGTAGTGTAGCTCCTTACTACTAAGACAACAGGTTTGACAGAGGGAAATACA